ACTGGCGCAAAACAATGAATGCAGGGCCCCCCCCCCCCCCCCCTCCTAGGACAAAACCATTAGGCCGCATGAGTACAACCACATATTAAATTCTAACAATATTAAACCATGTGCTATAAACATGCTTTTGTAAACTCAAAAGCATTTTAATTTATTAATTTTTCCAAAAGTGTTTAGAGGTTGGGAGACTTTAGGATACGCTTATTTAGAGAATAGGCAGGATTTGTATTTCCTCAGTAATATCAATTTTAACTGTTACTAAACCACTGAATCCAGAAAATCAGTACAAGACGCAGTTTCAGAACTCGGACAAATTAGTCTGCATGCTCTTAAAATTGATAATAAAAAATTCGTTCGAATCAAAATGATTAAAAATCTGATGAAAAAATTGTGAAAAATGATGATTCACCAAGACAAGCAATATTATTGTGATTAAACATAAGTTTGTATATTTTTAAGCAGAAAATCAAGGTTGCGATTTGGCCAATGTTTTACCATCATAGGTAGAAGGCCGTTTATTGCAATGGTGGCCAAATTAGGTATTAAATTCTGGCTTAAAAGAGAGCCGTTCAGTTTGGAGCTTTCTCTCAGAACGGCCTTTGATATATTTCCTCAACTCAGTTCTTGCGTAATCAATTTTTTCCCCAAAACGCAATAATACTCAGACTGCTAGAGTGACAGTTTGGTTGAAGAAAGCCAATAAATCTTAATAAATCAAGTTACTTAGGTTAATAGACCAGTATGGAGCTAGCCAGGTTGCTACCCCATTTTATTAAAAAATAAATTGGTATTGTAAACAAATAATACTTTTCTTATACGTCAGTTATGTGCCATCTTGATGATTCGCATTTGTTTAGGTATCAAAATGCAAACACACACTTGCAGATAAAAGGATCGTCTGTGAATAGTGTAGCTATGATCTTATCGACAGTCAGTCATTTATAGTTTTTAGATTATGACAGGCATCTGCTGTCATTATTAATTAGGAAACCAATCACCGGGTGTATTTTAAACTCACATTACTGCTTATTTTGAAGAAAATGTATTTGCTGAACAGACAAACTCAGTACACTCTTAACATTCAACATCTAATTTTATGAAAATCTAACGTAAATATTTTGAAACCAATCCACACGAGTTTATAATGATCTGCATTTCGATTGAGCAATACGAAGTCGTGCTTGAATGGATTTAACGATTGAGAAAACTACAGTTTATGATTGGTTAAAAGTTATTGCTGATAACGAACATTGAAAAACATTAAAAGTGATTTGATTTATGTACGTTTGCTCCGTTTGGAGTGTCATCGTGCTTCGGGCCACAAGTTATGCAATCAATATTATTACACAAATAATATATCATAAAATCTGAAAAGAACATTGAAACCAAGCGGCATAAGTAAATTGAAATCGGAAATGAAATACCCTATTTCAACAAATTTCTAATATTAAAACTAGGAAAGTTGTGGTTCAACAAAGTTTAAGGTTTTAGAAAGTCAAATCATACAAGAAATAAAAATGGTCAATATATATCTCCTTAAATGGAAAAAGTATTTTGTGAAAGGAATAATGTTACCATGTTATATTTTCTTTTGGATATTTTTGGTACCTATTTTCTAGTTTTGAACTGATTTTGTTTCAAAGCATATAAAGAGTTTTTTAAATATATATGATATCTGACATGATTTCCATTAATAAAACATTTCTTTCGAATAAAAGTAAATTTTAGCATAGGGGTAATCGATATCATTGAATTTCCTCATAAAGCTAATATCTGATAGCATGCTCTCTTTCCGCATGATCTAATTTGTATCTTTTTGTTATTGTTTTTACATTTAGATTCAATCAAATAGTAAGTAAATCTTTTAACTAATATTTTACTTATCTTTCTAAAGTAATTTAGGTTTGTCAAAAAGCCGGCAGGGGTGGAAGGTTTGTGTGGATACTGCGTTTGTCCGCCAATACGAATATTTTTGCCCCCGGTCGTTGTTCAAAATGCGCTTTGTTGTTTGATGTTTCCATTACTGAAATGTTATGCTTAAGGTTTTTTTATTGTTGTTCTTAGATTGCGTAAATATTTTATTAATCAAAGTGTGTTATATCTTTAATAGCTGTTTAGGGTTACATTAATGCGAAATCTATTTTGCACCCTATTTCTCAGATTTTTTTGCTATCATTCTGATACCTACAAATATTTCCTTAAAGACTAATTTCACTTAGTAAATTTTGCATTAAAAGCCTAAATATTTTTTTGCATCTACGTGACAGACTTTCTTGCTATTTTTGGTTTTCAAATATTCTTGTGCTGCCTGTCGCTTGAAATTCACAAGTAGTCATTTAAGGATATTTGAATATAATACAAGTTCGCATGGTGCATTTAAATCGCTTTTTTCTCTCCATTGCTCTTATTCGTCCTCGTTTATAATTTAGAAATGGCTACCGATCAGGAGCTCAAAATCTCTCGTATGACTAAACGGTCAATGAACAAGAAAATTTTCAGTCGTCCCAGTTATAAGCTTCGTGAATTTGTGCTTACTCCCTTTCAAATAAAATATTTTGAAGTCAGCGGTGGGGTAGGCCTTATTTCACCTTCATGTTTATTTGTATTCCGAGTAGAATCGTGGTAAGGAAAAGGGGCGAATTGCCTTGGCAAATGTTAAATATGTTGAAAAAGTAACTGACGATGATTTAGATGGCAAGAAGAATGTTCTACAGGTAAGTTTTCTTTATTGTTAATCCACACACCCCTCCTAGATTGCCTATGTTGAAGATGCAAATACGGCAAATTGGTTCCTTCTCTATACAGTTGTACCAACACAAATTGAACGCGATGATTGGATTAGTCTTATTCGATTTTGTAAGTTTTCTTTCACCCCTCTATTGGTTACGCACCTACTTATCGAGTATCATGATTGACACTGTTCTCATTAATCTCCTTGTGTGATTGCAACTAACATCTGCAAGTCTACAGATTATGCATCGAACGAGAGTTATTACCATTGGCAGCGTTGAATGTTCACTAAAAAGGGTTTCCTCAAGTTAATCATTTTAATATTTCCTTTTTTTGATTGGGCATCGAATTGATTTGTTACTCTAATATTGCGTTGAACCTAGCCATTAGTTTGATCTTGACTTAGTTAAATTACGGTAATTTTACGTGATTGCTTAATTGATTTATCAATTTCAGATACAAAAGAGCGAGGAGCAGTATTCTTGCCCCGATATCACCCAGGTGTATGGAAACGACCGGGTAGATATAGCTGTTGCGATGATATCAATAGGCGATCGGTTGGCTGTCAACATACCTCAGACCCTTCTAATACCCAAATGGAGTCCGGATCAGCAGGAATTAATAATGCTGCTGCCCCACCGGTACCTCCAAATGAATCTAGACGTTTCTCTGGTTTCCCTGGTGCCCTTCCAGTTGTCACTTCTGCAGAAATCCAGACACCTGCCATGCAACCTCTTGGAGTAATTGGTATTGGTAATGCTCCTCCTCCTCAACAACAGTCCGTTGGAATTCAATCGAAGCCCATTCCCCCTATTCCCACCCAACTGCAGCAGCAGTCTAATCAAATTATGCCACAAGCCCAACCTGGAGCGTTACCTGGAACAAAGATTCTCCTCCCATCAAATGCTTCTTCACCCGCTCTCACTTCAACTCCCATGAATCCTTCTGTTATGAATCCTTTCACTCAACAGCAGTTGTTCCAGCAGCAGCTTCTGGCTCAACAAGCTCATCATAGTTTAAGTATGTTGGCTGCTGCTCAGCCTCATTTGCAACAACAGCAAATTGCCGCTGCGGCAGCTGTAGCTTCCCGTAGGCCTGTTAGAGGCCTCCCTCAGTCACCTGGTGGCCAGTCGTTTGATTGGGTAAATTATTTTTGCCCCATTATTTTCGAATCCCATCTTCCGATATTTCTAGCCTTTTTGTTGTTGTTTCGTCATTTTGGTCCTTTCGGTTAGTGGACACAGTCTAAGTTAGTATTAAAGGGAC